TGGCTAGGACTTCCAGTACAATGTTGAACAGAAGTGGTGATAGCTTGTCTAGTTCCTGTTCTCAAGAACAATGGTTTCAGTCTCTCTGCAGGGTGATTTTTAGGTTAATTCTTAGGTCCTACCACCAGTCGGGAATCTCTAAGCCGCCTGTACCATCAGGGTTGCTCAGGTTGCTGTCATACCACAGCTCCGTATTTCTTTTTTGGTATTTTCACACAAATTCTTGCTAGTTGGGGTTTAGTCCACTTCTGTATCCTTCCCCTCAAGGCTCAGGGGGCCAAGATTATCTTCTGTGTCTGTGTCAATTGGTTTCCCTTTTCTTTGTTGAAGAGGGTCTGTGTAGTCCTTCTGCCTAGTCTGCCATCTTGCCGGAACTCTGCAACCCTTTTTAAATCGTTTCCAGTAAGATTTTACTTGAGTGTGATATTATTGATATCATTTGATAATTTCCACATTCTGTGGAATCACCTTTCTTTGGAATGGGTATAAATATGCATCTCTTCCAGTCAGTTGGCCACATAGCTGTCTTCCAACTCTCTTGGCATAGGCGAGTGAGTGCCTGCAGCATGACATCCGTTCTTTGAATATTTCAATGGGTATTCCGTCAATTCCTGGAGCCTTGTTTTTCAGCAGTTCCTTCAGTGTAGCCTTGACTTCTTCCTTCAATGTCATTGGTTCTTGATCATATGCCACCTCCTAAAATGCATGAACAGTGACCATTTCTTTTTGGTACAGTGACTCTGCCTTTCTTCCATCTTCTTTCAATGTTTCCTGCATCATTCAACATTTTGCCCATAGAATCTTTCAGTATTGCAATTTGAGGCTTGAATTTTTTCTTTGGTTCTTTCAGCTTGAGAAATGCTGAGCATGTTCTTCCCTTTTAGTTTCTTACTCCATCCAGATCTTTGCACATTTCATTATAATAATTGTCTTTGTCTCCTCAAGCTGCTCTTTGAAATCTTCTGTTCAACTCTTTTATGTTGTCATTTCTTCCATTTGTTTTAGCTACTCTCCTTTCAAGGGCAAGTTTCAGAGTCTCTTCTGACATCTATTTGGCTTTTCCTTTCCTGTCTTTTTAATGACCTCTTGCTTTCTTCATGGATGATGTTTTTGATGTCATCCCACAATTCCTCTGGTTTTTGGTCACTGTTGTTCAATGCATCAAATCTATTCTTTAGATGGTCTCTAAATTCAGGAGGGATATAATCAAGGTCATATTTTGGCTCTCATGGACTTTTTAAAATTATCTTCAAGTTCAGCTTGAAGTTGTGTATGAACAGTTGATGGTCAGTTCCACAATCAGCTCTTGTCCTTGTTTTGGCTGGAGATACTGAGCTTTTCCATCACCTCTTGCCACAGATGTATGTAGGCAGTCTGATTCCTGTGTACTCCATCTGGTGAAGTCCATATGGATAGCCGCTGTTTGTGTTGTTGAAAAAAGGTATTTGCAATGAATAAGTCGTTGCTTGCAAAATTCTATCATGTGATGTCCAGTTATTTCTATCACCAAGGGCATATTTTCCAACTACCAGTGATTTTTTGTTTCCAACTTTTACATTCCGATCACCAGTGATAATCAACATATCCTGATTGCATGTTCGATCAATTTCAGACTGTAGAAATTGGTAAAAATCTTCAATTTCCTCATCTTTGGCTCTGGTGGTTGGTGCATAAATTTGAATAATAGTAGTATTAACTGGACTTTCTTTTAGGTGTATGAGTATTATCTTATCACTGACAGCATTGTACTTCAGGATAGATTTTGAAACATTCTTTATGACGATGAATGCCATGCCATTCCTCTTCAAATTGTCATTCCCGGCATAGTTGATCATATGGTTGTCTAATTCAAAATGGCCAATCCATTTCAGCTCACTAATGCCTAGGATATTGATCTTTATGCATTCCATTTCATTTCTGACAACGTCCAGTTTTCCTGGATTGATACTT